CGCCCCTCCCCCTCCCCCTTCTGCGGGTTTGCCGATCTTGATGACAATCTCGATGTCGGCGTTCGTATTCATAATGTCAGGCCCGTGGATCATACTCCTTCTATCTCCAGCAAGGCGTGGCAGGCCGTCTTGTTCCTGCCCATTCGCCTGAATTTCGTCAGTGCTGGCACCAGAGAGCTTGCTCATTATATGAGTGTGATAGTCTTTGATATTTGTGAATATCTCGGGGTCTGCGAGCTCTCTGGAGCCCACAAGCGAATCGAACTACAGCCCAAAGGCGGTTCAAGGGGCCCCTCGAGTATAAACGGTTGCGGACAGGCAGGCAATGCGCACTTGGGTTTACACCCCCAACAATCTATGTTGCCTACACCGTCCGCCACCAGCTCCAGAAAGGGGCCATTAATTTTCATCTCGCTGCCAAAATTGCGCGTCACGCAGCACAGGGCCGTCTGCGGCATGTGGCGCCATGCGCAAAAAACACAGCCGAGGTCTTGACCTGCATCCGCGGCCACCGCCGCTCAGAAATCAACCTCGATCCGGGGTCCGCTGAAGACCTGGTCCCGATGTTCATCTTCACCACCGTCTGCCGCATCTGGTAGTGAAATCTCCGCGTTCTTGGACGCATCTCTGATGAGGCCAGCGAAGTCTCGCTTATTCGACTCGAACTTGGTGACACCTCTCTCCTTCCGCCTCTTCGCGCTGAGTTGCTCCTCGTCGTCCACTGACGCCCAGTAGCCAGTCCTCAAGTAGAGTTCGATGGGCCCATAGGCCGCCGCCTTGGTCAGGCTGTCGCTGAGGTTCGCCTCGAAATGGCACCACCTCACGATGAGCCCCGTCTCCGCGATGCATCGCTCAAAAGCCATCAGCTCCAGAGCGGTCCTCTTCTCCGCCAGACTCTGCATCTGCACCTGCTTCGCGAGACAGTCGTAGATGCTCTTTGCGTCCACGCATAAGCAGGCTCCAACTTCGCGTACTCCTTCGACCATGGGTCGTAGCTCACGTCCTGCACTGGCTGTTCCAGCCACCACATCCGACACGAACCCATTCAGCTCAGCCCACATCATGCGCACCATGAAGAACTCGTCTCCTGCGACAGTCAGCGCCTGAACTTCAGCCGAGAGTGAGCTTCTTGCCACACGCTGTAGCTTGCCACTTCGATGCGACACCCAGCCGACCGGCGTCCGCTTGCCGACCAGGATCTCCCCCGGGGCGATGCCTATCACGTATCCTCCAGTAGATAGTCCAACAGGCCGATTGGCCCAGGCAGCGTCGCTCCATCCGACCACCACGGCATTCCCTCGGAACGGTTCGAACGTCAGCTTGTAGTTCAGGTCCAGTTTGATTTGCTTGATCAGCTTGTTGATGCCGAGCAGCGTCTCGACAGTCGCCGCAGGACCAGTACTCTGAAAGATGGAGCACTGAGCTTGGTATCGTGGTAGTGTCTGCGTCGCCACCCACTGTATCTCCCCGAGCGCTCCTCGTAGTAGCGTCATCTCGCGATACATGAGCTTCTCCCCACGTTGCTTCCTGCGCTCGCTGAGAATGTCGATCTCCTTCATGTTGTCAATGAAGTCCTTCTGGTGGATCGATATTTTCCCGTTCGGCTCATGGTTACAGTCAGCCCGGTCTGCTTGAAGTGTCCTTCCCAGGGTGTCCACCGAAACACCTCCTGCAGTTTCGTCTCTATGTCGAGCCAGCGTCGGCTGCCGTGTCCGGTGATCAGGAAGTCGCCCACGTGTATTCCGACGATCCTGCAGACGCCGGTTTCGTCGCTGAAGACGCGGACGCATGGATCTGAGACACATCGCTGATCTCCGAGTTGCTCCATGAGTGCGTCCACGCTCTCGTACCACGACTTGGGTGCCTGGCACAATCCATATACTGCCTTACGTAGTCGCACTAGCGTTCCAATCTGTAATCCGAGCTCCTCAGCCCTATGAAGACGGGCTTATCCTCTGACATGCCCCTTGTCCTGCAGGAGCGACGCCTTTACGTCGCCCCTCTTGAGCCTAAAGGTCTTCATCGCCGCGATCCGGAAAATCAGGTTCGAGCGCGCCTCGTCCTCACCGAGTCGTGGGTCTTGGTATCCAAGAGCGACCAGTCGTGCTTTAGCTCGGCTGCCTCCTGTGGCTTCATCATTCTTCCAGGTCAGCACCCCTCGCGTCTTCAAAATATATTCCTGCCTTGGCCTTAAGTGCGGAGGAATTGTATCGAGCACGTCGTGCGCGATCCAATCGCGCACTTCCACAAGCTTCGCTGCCCTCATCTTGTCCCTCTGCGCTGTCGTCATGTTCTTGACGCTCGCCGCCGTGCGACCCTTCTTCAACGCCTTAGACACTTAGCGCTCTGGCGGGCTGGCTATCTTGCCCATCCTGACCTTGTCTATCGCCTCGAACGCCACCTCGATGAACTCCGTCCCTACGGACATGGAGATGTCCTCCTCCAGTTCGGTTGCCGCGAACGCGCTCGAATTCGAACTTTTCCCAGTCGAGCTGGTTCCAGTCGGTCTCCTTGTCATTCGCGAGCACTCCGAAAGCCTTGAGCGAGGGCCCGAACGGTGTCTTCATCCGTATCCTCCTCTGAGTCTTTGCGAACAGGTCGTGCTTCTGCTTTTGCTTCCAGTCTCTGGTCTTCCACTTGGGGTTCACGGTGATCATTCCCTCGTTGGTCTTCACGGGTGTCGGTTTATCTTCGTATCCACCATCATGTCGTGGTCGTTTGGATCTCTTATCGGAGTGCCTACTGCCGTCCGAGTAGGTATTTCTGATTTCTCGTTCTATCCAGTCACCGATGCTGACGGCTCGGATCCTGACCTTTGTCCAGGTGCAGTGCCTTCAGCTCCGTCCGTCTTGTCTTCGATGATGGGGAACAGGTATGTCTTGCCAGTCCAGCGCCGTCCCAGCGTCCTGGTTGATTTCCCTGGGACGTTCCAGTTTTCATCCTTGAGTGTCTCCATGGAGCCGTCCTCGAACTTCGCCACAGTCACCCGCTCCACTGTCGTCTTCTCCGGCGAGGCCCGGAAGCCTCTCGGTGTGAACGTCGCCAGTCGATGTCGTATGTGGATTCGTACGTACGCCATCCGACTTTCGATCTCCTCTTCCATCCAGTAGTCCTCTATGTTGCTGTCGTCTGGCGCCCTCGCCGTCGCCTCTGGTACGTAGGTCTCCTCTTGCATGGGCGTATCCTCCGTGTCCACGCTGATAACCTCGCCCTTGCTGAGCGAGATGAGAGCCTCCACGAAGGTCCATGGCGTGCCCTTCTCGTCCGCAAAGATCAGCTCCTCGCGAGGGATCGCTGCTCGTAGGTGTTCTGGTGAGCACCTCCAGAGTCGAGCTCCCATCACGACCCATACCTTCCGACCCGGCTGTGCGCTCTCGCCGTTGACGCGTACCGTCTGCACACCCAGCACAGTCCCTGGTCCAAACCAGCGTCATCGATCGATTCCGTGTTGCTTACGTACACCATGTGCAGGTTGGATTGTTTGCTTGCCGCATCTCCAGACGCATACCTGCATACCTGGCACGAACTTCTGCATTCGTTGGTCTCGTGCTGCGGCTGCCCTCGCTTGCTGCTGCTTGAGGATCCTGTCCCCGATGATCTTAGAGGCCAGCACGCGCTTCGACAAGTTCTCCATTGAGCTCTGGTTCGTACACTTCACCACGTCCAGGTTCTCGTCCTTCCTGAGCGTCCCCGACGAGTACTTGTCTCTTCCGAATGCCCACTGCGTCGGGCTGCAGCCGTTGACCCTCTCCCACGGTGTTGTGAGCCTCCACCGCCTGGTGCATCGCTGTCTCCATGTAGGTGTCGTGATCCTTGTGCAGCGACTTGGCGCAATCGAAGACTGTCTTGATCGCTCGCTCGGTTATGCTGTTCTGCCAGTTTGCCTGTGTCGCGCAAGGGTCCAGCATCACACCTTCACTCGATATGTTCTCGAAGAACTCATGTGACACAAAAGCTCCTTCTGGATCGTGGCGCAGTACTGCAGGCATCCCATATCTTTCTGACCAGTGGCTTCGGAAAGCGTCCAGCAGTTCCTTAGCCGTACAGTTCCTGGACTCTTGTCCGGGACAGCTGAAAATCTTCACCGCCAGCGTGAGTTTGTTCGTTTCGTCTACGATCACCATTCCCCGACGTCGTAGCACTTTGATCATCACCCTCATCGGTCGATGTCGGGTATTCCTGTGCAGTCGTATCGTGGCCGTCATCAGCTCATTCTGCTTGAGTGGCTCTAGCTTGTTCCACTCTGCCTGCTCTTCGGCCGTGAGCTCGAGCTCCTTCTCGGTCCCGAACACGTTGACCTTGGTCGCCGTGAGCGCCTTCTCTTCGTCTCTCATGTCATCGATAGGCTCGGCGGGTCCACGATGCACTTCCAGATCAGCTTGGCCAGCGGTTATGGATATCTCCCAGATCCCGTCGCATCGCGTCCACAGCATTCGGAGTGTCCATGTCCAGCAGGATTTGGGTATCTCTTACCTCTTAGAGTTGTTGCCAGCTTCGTCCTGCTTGTCCAGACCGTCCAAGGCTTGTAGATCGGGCTGCCCTTCTGGTTTACGATTCCCACTAGGCATCCGTCGAAGTTGGCCTTCTCCATTTCCACCTCGCCGAAGAACATGCTCAGTTGCGGGAACAGCTTCCAATCATGACAGTTCCTCGGCCACTCGAAGTGCACCTCCCCGCCATTCGCTCTGATCTGTCGGCGGAGTACGATGACATTGTCGACCATTTTCCTCAGGTTCGTGCGCTTGGCCTCTAGCTTGGCCCAGTGCTGTGTCCCTGCTCTGCCGATGTATCCGTTCTGCAATGCACTGACCGCCGTGCATGGCACGCTGCCCCACTGCCCCATAGATCTGCTCCACGGTTCTCGTCGGCGATCTTGAGCGCGTAGTCCAACCCTGCCTGCTTGCTGAGGTCGGCGTCCTTGCTGGTGATTTGGATGTTCCTGGCGTCGTTCCTCTCGCGTGCTACCTGACCCAGCTGACTGTCCTCCCCTGTACAGAACTCTACATCAGCGTCTTGGTGTACAGGTCGGTCGCCGTATTCACATCCTTCACTTGATCCACCACCCAGGTGTAGTCCATCATGTTGACGTCCTCCTTCGGGTACTCCACGTCGACACCGAACGTGACGACGTCCTGCCTGGCGTCGCTGACGCCGGACGGCTGATCCCCGCCTTGCGGCGAGATTCTCGGCGTCCGCCTCTTGACCTGCTTGTCGGCTGGCCTCTTGGTGCTGTCCCTCATCATGTCCAGCTCCTCGGCCGCTCGCGAGGTCTTCGTCTCGACCCAGGGCGTCTCCTTCTCGTCGGAGGTACCCTCCTTCTCGAACGAGTCGTCCGAGCTCACCTCTTCTGGCGTCGGCCCTTGTGACTCCTGTAAGGTCTTCTGCTTGGTGATCTCCTCGAACTTGATCTTGCCGACCGTCGGGCCCACAGGCCCCTGCTGTCGGTATACTTCCCCGGTGCCCCGACCTTCGGGACATAGAGCATCACCAGGTCGCACCTCACGCACTTGTAGCTCACCTTGTACTGGTTCGCGTGCCTCGCCAGAGGGTTCGTCGTGTCGTCGTCTCCTCGGCATGGCTTCCCGAGATACCGGGCGTCTCTCTCGTCGGTCCCCTCAGCTCTCCTCCAGTCCAGCCGCGGGTCCCTCTTGTCGATCGCCATCTACTCGCCGATCGTCCTGCCGCCACATTTCGTCCAGCTGCTTTTCGAGACTCCTGCTGGTGAGGTCGGCCGAGCGCCAGCGCCCGTCCGGCCCTTGCTGCCACCGCCGCTGCCCTCGGACTTGGGTTTGCGGCTCGGTACTGGCGTCTCCGCAGCCGCGGCAGCTGCTCCCGCATCTTGGGTGTTGCCGCAGAGCTGCTCGGAAATCACCTTGAACTTTCGGTTTGAGCCAGATCGTCGACCACGGTCATACACGTATCGGGGCCTCGGAATGTCGGTGATCTTCGACTTTTCTGACAGCACGTCGGTGGATTTCGGCTCGCTCGTCGTCGCAGTGGTTTCGAACCCCCTCGAACCATTAGCAGACTCCTTTCCGTTCTCCTCCTTCGACCCCGTCAGACTCGTCGTGAAACCCCTCTGTCGAGTCGAAGTCGATAGCGCTCTCGATGTGCTCTGGAATCGTGTCGCAGCACTCGCGGTCCTCGGTCGAGCTGTCGATCGTGTCGGATTCGGTGCACGTTCAAACTCCAGAGGCCTCTTGGTGGTCATCTCGGGCCCTCCAGCTAGCACTGTTTCCTTTATGATATCTGGCGTTCCACTCTTCTCGGTCCCCTCCCCTGCTCTCATGGATGTCGTGGAATGACGTATCCAGTGACGTGATGATGGCTTTGACAGTCTTCCATCACCGCAGAAGGAGGGGCGATGTCCCTATTCAGCGTCGGCCGGCCGGCCGGCTGGCCGGCCACTCCAGCGTCTTGTACGTTGAACGCCTGGTGCAGGTTCTCGAGCTTCTGCCGAAAGTCCTGCATCTCCTGCTTCGTCATCTTCTGGCCGTAGAGGTCCCAGGTCATGTGTCGATGCACAAGTGACCTGTCGAGATCATCTTGAGCTTGACCAGCCTCTCCACCGCTAGTTTCGCGAAGCAGGCGATTCCAGTGGCAAAATCAATGATGGCCCCTGAGCGCCTCAGGAAATCCACAGATCCCAGCAGCGGCACGTAACGATAATTCTTCGTGTTCAGAGCGTACCCGGCGAGTGTCCCGAGCTAACCGTTCGCTTGGAGAGATAATGTAGCCTTGCTCGAGCACTTCTCTGCAGCTCCGTTCGCGAATCCGAAGTTCGGCCGATCTATCACATCAACTGTCACGCCACTGGTGTCCATGCCTGCGGCCTTCTGCTTCTCGATGATGTGTTCCAGCGCCATGGTAGATCCGAACGCCTTGGTCGTGCCTCAGTCCAGCACCATGCAGCCTGCTGTCTCGTCTTCGAGCCCGGCCAGCGCGTGCTCGACCGTGCCACCCTGCGTCGCAGGGTAGGCTGTCTCGAACGATGTGAACGCCAGCTCCATCGCTCGTCCTTCGGCACCGTCTCGCTGCTCAGCTCGATCTCGTAGTCCGGGATGTCGTTCCAATTCCGAAGTTGAACGCCACGGCGCCGACTTGTTGCACCTTGTCCTTCGGCGTCCCGCCCTGGTTCGTCTCCTTATTGCGCAAGCAGTGCTCGCGGTTGTGCGGTCCGCCTCAGATGAAGCATGACTTTGTCCCATGCCACCTGCTGGTCGACCCTTGCCACGGGCCTTGCCTTTCTGATAGAACACACGACTCTGCTTGATATCTTTGACGATTGCACGGGCTTGCGCCAGCGTCCTCTTCTGCGTACTTGCGTCCTTCTTCGCGCCAGCGATCACGGCCAGTGCCTCCTCTGCCTCGGCACGGTCGTCCTCGTCCAGATCCTCGAAGTCTAGCTCGTCGTCGTTCTCGTCCGACTCATCGCCGAGGTAGGCTTCGTTGCCGATCCCTTCTCCGTCCCCGTCGGCATACCCCTGCTCCTTGTAGTCGTGCTCGTCGAACAGACCCAGAGCTCGTTTCTTGCCAGGCTTGTGCGGGAACGTGTCTCTCTTCTTGTTCTGGGCATCGTGCTCCTTGAGGTCGACGTCTGTCCACTTGTCACCTAGTGCTGCCTTGATGTTCTTCCGGTTCAGCGAGTTCTTAGCCGATGATAGCACTCTCGCACGCTCTTGAGCGTTCAGTCCAGCCCGTTGCAAGAGTAATCATCCAGCCATGACCGACGGGATGAGGATCTCTCTCAACTCAGTTGCCACCTCCTTCAGGGGTTTGATGTCCACGTCGTCTTCGTCCAGGTCAAACCTCGCCAGCAGTGAACACAAAGCATCCGTAGCTCTCTCCTTCAGCGTCACCTTCTTGTGTGCTTTCAGCGACGGTGACGCCGATGCTTGAGGCCACTCCCACTGCGAGCCCGACTGTCCACCTGGAGAGTTGCTCCTCCAGCTGCTGCCACGTCACCAGCTGCCTCTCCAGTTCTCGTCCTTCCAGCACTTCGCGACGTCATCGTCGTCGCCCTGGATGCTGATCCCCTCCTTCACGGACTCCTGCTTCTCCTCGGGTCTGGACCGCTTCTGTTCAGCTCGCAGTTCGGGTCCTTCTCCTCGATTATTTTGAAAGCTCTGGTCCAGCTTGTCGGCGACGATTCGGCTCCGCTGGGCTTAGGCTTTCATCATTTCGTTGTTCTTCCGCCGCAGCGTGAAGAGCTACTCCTCGAGATACTTTGCCGCTTCCGCGATGGGTTCGTCCATGAGAGTCTCGTCGAGGAAGTGTAGCAGTGTCTTGTGGCATGAAGTCTCTCGAGCATAAACGGTTGCGGACAGGCAGGCAATGCACGCTTGAGTTTACACCCCCTTCTCCCCCTTACTCCCTTTCCAACTTCCCCCGACCTCTACTCCCTCCCCCTCCCTTCTCATCTCCTTCCCCCCCTTCCCCGCCTCCTCCTTCGCTCCTTCGCACTCATGCACCCCTCTTTCCCCGACTCCTCCTTCGCTCCTTCGCACCCGCGCACCCCTCTTCCCCGCCTCCCACTTCGCTCCTCCGCACCCACCCATTCCTGGCATTACAGAGCCCTACCCTTCGGGACAGCTCAATATCCACACACAGCCTCTCCTCAACCCTCTCAGCTATCATTTTCATGATCAGTCAAGAAGAAGAAGAGAAGTAGGCGGAAGGGGTATGTTGACAAGGGGGACGAATACGACGAGGAGAAGGGTAGCGTTGAAGCGGGGGTTAAAGGAACGAATGAGAAATTGCTTGGCGAGGGGCCCAACCCTTCAAAGATTCCTGTAATGTTCGTGATGAGCCTCTCTGTGCACGGCCCGTGTGAGGGATGTGTTGGATAGGGTGGGCCACGCATGCTTGGGACTTGATGTGGAGCTCCCGAAGGGGCGCGAGACTCGTGGTGGTCCGCCGAGAATCACAGGGAAACGCATCCCTTTCCCCACTGGGACTAAGGGGCTCATGTGAGGTGTGTGCCGGAACCGGTTGGCATACGCATACATTTTTCTCCACCGAGGCCACATATGGTGCCCCCATGTAAGACCACGACCTTCGTAAGGGGTGTGCCGGAATGGGCGGTGCTGTTACATAGTGTTTGCTATTGGGGCCGAAGGTGTAATTTCTTATTAAGCTACCATCCTCGTGAGTGGTGTGCCGAAATGGACGGCGCCGCCATGCGGACTGCGGACCCTCCCGTTGGGACCGTATCTGGTATTCCCTATAGTGCCACGGTATTCGTGAGAAGTGTGCCGAAATGGGCGGCGGCGCCATGCGGACCCTGCCGCTGGGGCCGTAAGTGGAGCTGTCCATGCAATGCCACGGTCATCGTGATAAGAGCATCGAAATGGGCGACCGCCATGCTACTCCTCCCATTGGGGCCGTAGGTGGAGCTCCCTATGTGAGACCCCGCTCATCGTGAAAAGATCGTTGGAACGGGCGTCGCCACCATGTGGGTGCCGTAAGTGAAGCTGCTTACAGGGCCGCGATGCTCGTGAGGGGTGCGCCGAAGTGGGCGGCGGCGCCGCCGTGCAGGCGACCCTCCCGCTGAGGCCGAAGGCGGAGCTTTTTATGGGGCCACGATCCTCGTGAGGGGTATGACGAGTTGGGCGGCACCGCCGTGCGGAACCTCCCGCTGGTGGCCGCAGGTGGGGCTCCCCACGGGGCCACGATCTTTGTGAAGGGTGTGCCGAACGGGGGCGCGCACTCCATACGTCGGCGTCCACTGAGACCGTAGGTGGCGCCCCATGGGGCCACGAAAGTGTAAAGGGAATGCCGAATTGGGGGCGCGTGCGTCACATGCCGGCGCCCATTGAGACTGTAAGTGGGGCTCCTTTAGGGGCCACGGATCAGGCGAGGGGCGGGCCGGATAGGGGCGCGCACTCCAGATGTTGGCATCCATTGAGATCACAGGTGAAGCTCCTTGTGGGGCCACGAGGCGTGTGAGGGGTGTTCCGAAATGGAGGCGCGTGAGCCATACCTCGGCGCCCACAGACCGTAAGAGGACCGCCTTCTATGGGACCACGAAGCATGGGAGGGGTAGGCCGAAATGGGGGCGTGTGCTCCATACTTCGGCGCCCACTGAGGGCCGCAAAGCGTTTGAGTGGTGTGCCGAGTTTGGGGCGCGTGCGCCATACGTCGGCGCCCACTGAGACTGTAGGTGGAACTCCTTATGGGCCCGCGAAACGTCGGGTGCGCAGAGTCGGGTGAGCGTGCGCGATATGTCGGCCACCATTGTGACCGCAGGTGTGGATCCTTATAGGACCACGATACGTGCGAGATGCTTTCCGGAAGAGACATGCAAACCGCACGGGCAAGAGGAGTTGAAGAATGAGGAGAATTATGAGGAGTAGAATTAGGAGACGCGCGCGGTGGCGATTCAAAATGAGGACTCAATTCTCACACTGGATGGTTCTGAATGCGAGTGACATGGCGCACGATTGCCATGCGCATGGATTTGCAAGTGGTGCTTTGTGACAGATGCGGGCGTGAAGGCGCGCGAAGCTTGCTTGTTTGTCGTGCGTTACATGCGCGCGCGTGTGTGTGTGTGTGTGCGTGTGCGTGTGCGTGTGCGTGTGCGTGTGCGTGTGCGTGTGCGTGTGCGTGTGCGTGTGCGTGTGAATGGAACCCGTGTAATACCCTCATATATACTCCTTATCCTTACCTCTCCTGCGCCTGGCCGTTTGGGCTCAGGTATTGAGATAGATCGATCAGACCTTGATCGTGCGGGAGGGAAAGATATCCATCTATCCCTCCTTCTCTCTACCAACGGATCAGGGGTTCTGTACCCTTGTACTTCAACCCCATACACAGGTTATCAGCCCTTTAAAGCTCACCCTCACCGACTCGCCCGCGGTGACCTCGCATGCG